GTCTTGGCAGTAATCTCCCCTTTATCATTTTTTATTGTGTTTGATTCTTCTCTTTTTCTTTATTAGTCTGGCTAGTGGTCTATGTATTTCATTTCAAACTCATTCACCATTTGTAAATCTTTTCAAAAAAACAGCTCCTGAATTCAATGATTTTTTTCAAAGGCTTTTAGTGTCTCTATTTCCTTCAGTTCTGCTCTGATCTTAGTTATTTCTTGTCTTCTGCTAGCTTTGAATACATTTGTTTTTGCTTTTCCAGTTCTTTTAATTGTGATGTTAGGGTGCAAATTGCAGATCTTTCCCGCTTTCTCCTGTTGGCATTTAGTGCTATAAATTTCACTCTAAACACTGCTTTAGCTGTGTCCCAGAGATTCTGGTACACTCTGTCTTTGTTCTCATTGGTTTTGAAGAACTTATTTGCTTCTGCCTTAATTTCATTATTTATCCAGTAGTCATTCAGAAGCAGGTGGTTCAGTTTCCATGTAGTTGTGCAGTTTTGAGTGAGTTTCTTAATCCTGAGTTCTAATTTGATTGCACTGTGGTCTGAGAGACTGCTTGTTATGATTTCTGTTCTTCTGCATTTGCTGAGGAGTGTTTTATTCCCAACTATGTGGTCAATTTTAGAATAAGTGTGAAGTGGTGCTGAGAAGAATATATATTCTGTTGATTTGGGATGGAGAGTTATGTAGATGTCTGTTAAGTCCACTTGGTCCAGAGCTGAGTTCAAGTCCTGAATATCCTTGGTAATTTTCTGTCTCGTTGATCTAGTACTGACAGTGGGATGTTAAAACCTCCCACTATTATTTTGTGGAAGTCTAAGTCTCTTTGTAGTTCTTTAGGAACTTGCTTTATGAATCTGGGTGTTCCTGTATTGGGTGCATATATATTTAGGAGAGTTTGCTTTTGTTGGTGCATTGATCCCTTTACCAGTGTATAATGCCCTCTTTGCCTTTTTTTATGTTTGTTGGTTTAAAGTCTGTTTTAACAGACTAGGACTGCAACTTCTGCTATTTCTGCTTTCCATTTGCTTAGTAAATATTCTTCCATCCCTTTATTTTGAGCCTATGTGTGTCTTTGCTTGCACATGAGATGGGTCTCCCGTATGCAGCACACTGAAGGGTCTTGACTTCTTATCCAATTTGCCAGTCTGTGTCTTTTAATTGGGGCATTTACCGTGTTTACACTTAAGGTTAATATTGTTATGTGTGAATTTGATCTTGTCATTATGATGATAGCTGGTTATTTTGCCTGTTAGTTGATGCAGTTTCTTCATAGTGTGGATGGTCTTTACAATTTGGTATGTTTTTGCAGTGGCTGGTACCAGTTCTTCCTTTCCATATTTAGTGCTTCCTTCAGGAGCTTTTGTAAGGCAGGCCTGGTGTGACAAGATCTCTCAGCATTTGCTTGTGTGTAAAGGATTTTATTTCTCCTTCGCTTATGAAGCTTAGTTTGGCTGAATATGAAATTCTGGGTTGAAAATTCTTTCCTTTAAGAATGTTGAATATTGGCCCCTACTCTCTTTTGGCTTATAGGGTTTCTGCAGAGAGATCTGCTGTTAGTCTGAAGGGCTTCCCTTTGTGGGTAACCTGACCTTTCTCTCTGGCTGCCTTAACATTTTTTCCTTCATTTCAACCTTGGTGGGTCTAACAATTATGTGTCTTGGGGTTGCTCTTCTCAAGGAGTATCTTTGTGGTATTTTCTGCATTTCCTGAAACTGAATGTTGGCCTGTCTTGCTAGGTTGGGAAATTTCACCTGGCTAATAACCTGAAGAGTGTTTTCCAACTTGGTTCCATTCTCCCCATCACTTTCAGGCACACCAATCAAACATAGGTTTGGTCTTTTCACATAGTCCCATGCTTCTTGGAGGATTTGTTCATTGTTTTCATCTTTTTCCTCTAATTTTGTCTTAACACTTTTTCATTAGGTTTATCTTCAATCTCTGATTATCTTCTTTCACTTGATCCATTTGGCTACTGATACTTGTGCATGCTTCACAAAGTTCTCGTGCTATTTTTTTCATTTCCATCAGGTCATTCGTGTTCTTCTCCATACTGGTTATTCTAGTTAGCAATTCCTCTATCCTTTTTTCAAGGTTCTTAGCTTCCTTGCATTGGGTTAGAACATGCTCCTTTAGCTCGGTGGAGTTTGTTATTACCCACCTTCTGAAACCTACTTCTGTCATCAAACTCATTCACCATCCAGTTTTGTCCCCTTGCTGGCGAGGAGTTGTGATCCTTTGGAAGAGAAGAGGCATTCTGGGTTTTGGAATTTTTAGCCTTTTTGCCCCAGTTTTTCTCCTCATCTTCCTGGATTTATCTCCCTTCGGTCTTTGATGTTGGTGACCTTTGGATGGGGTTTTTCTGTGGACATCCTTTTTGTTGACGTTGATGCTATCTTTTCTGTTTGTTAGTTTTCCTTCTAACAGGCCCCTCTGCTGCAGGTCTGCTGGAGTTTGTTGTAAGTCCACTCTAGACTCTGTGGACTCAGGAAGCATGGTGGTCAGGAACCCACTTGAGGAAGCAGTCTGTCCCTTAGGAGAGCTTGAGCACTATGCTGGGAGAGCCACTGCTCTCTTTAGAGCTGGCAGGCAGGAACATTGAAGTCTGCTGAAGCTGCACCCACAGCCACCCCTTCCCCCAGGTGCTCTGTCACAGGGAGATGAGAGTTTTACCTATAAGCCCCCATCTGGGGCTGCTGCCTTTCTTTCAGAGATGCCCTGCCCAGAGAGGAGAAATCTAGAGAGGCAGTCTGGCTACAGTGGCTTCACCAAGCTGTGGTGGGCTCCACCCAGTTCGAACATCCTGAAAGCTTTGTTTACACTGTGAGGGGAAAACTGCCTACTCAAGATTCAGTAATGGCAGATGCCTCTTCTCCCACCAAACTCGAACATCCCAGGTAAACTTCAGGCTGTTATGCTGTCAACGAGAATTTCAAGCCAGTGTATCTTAGCTTGCTGGGTTCTGTGGGGGATGGGATCTGCTGAGCTAGACCACTTGTCATCCTGGCTTCAGCCTCCTTTCCAGCAGAGTGAATGGTTGTTTCACTTGCATTCCAGGCACCACTAGGGTATGAAAAAAAACTCCGGCAGCTAGCTCAGTGTATGCCCTAATGCCTGCCCAGTTTTGTGGCTGAAACCCAGGGCCTTGGTGGTGTAGGCACCTGAAGGAATCTTCTGGTCTGTGGGTTGTGAAGACAGTAGGAAAAGCATAGTATCTGGCCAGAATGCACCACTGTCCCACATGGCTACCCTTGGCTAAGGGAGGGACTCCTTGCACTTCCTGGGTGAGGCAACATCCCACCCTGCTTCTGCTCACCCTCCGTGGGCTGCATGCACCATCTAACCAGTTCAAGTGAGATGAGCCGGGTACCTCAGTTGGAAACACAGAAATCACCATCTTCTGCTGGGAGCTACAGACTGGAGCTGTACCTATTTGGGCATCTTGCAAGCCACCCAATAAATGCAATTCTTAATTTTGTTCAGATCTCATCAGGATATCCCCAACATTCTATTAAACTCTTTATCTTTCCTTTACAAAAGGGCTGTGGGATTTCTCTCCTCCAGGTTAACACAAACACTCACAGTAGGATAATTTATTAAAAAGAAATGTAGAATCTAGAGGGAAAAAATGCAGATGAACAGACAAGCAAGGGCCCAGGGAAAGCACCTCATGATGAAAGTTTTTGTGAACACTTCTGCTTTGAAACAAACAAAGCAACAAATAACTGCCTAACAGTGGTGTCAATGAGAGTGTGCCCATCTTCAAATCCACCAGTGACATCACGGGAACTGACGTGCATGTCCTGGGAGCGCTTGTCTGACTGTGAGCTGGGAGACCCCCTCGAGGGGCCTGGGCCAGAATGGCTTCAGTGTGGCATTGTGCGGATCATTAATTCCACGCACCATTCCCCTTTAGAGACTAGGGGAACACCTACTACCTCACCAAGACGTTACAGAGTTATAGTTTTTAAGACTGGCAAAGGAATATACCTAAGACACTCTCACCAACTGTCATTTCTTACTCATAGAATAATAATGATGGGGAAATACCATACAATGAATTTGTCAGTCCAATAGACTAACTTGGGTAAATATACAATAATCACACTTTAAAGCAGTTTTAAAAATATTATTTAAATACACAATCCAAGAGTGATGAACCCTCAGGTAATCCGGACTCAGTGGTGGTAGCGAGGCGGCAGGCCCATGGTTACGCCACACATACCCTAGGCTGCGATGTGGGGCAGGATGCTGGAAATTTCTGCCTTCCACTCAACTTTGCTATGAACCTAACACCACTCTCAAAAAAATATTTTTAAACTACATAAACATATTATTTAAATGTACACATGGCCACATTTTAAAATGTAGCAACCTTATGCAAAACTTAAAAGAGAAGCCACTGGTGGCAACTCTGGCCGAACCCCCTGCCCCCACACCCGCCGGCAGATGCTCCAGAGCTTCCCCACTTGCCTGTCAGGGCAGAGCTGCTGTTTGGTGACAGGACCCAGATCGCTCTGGAGGAGGTCCCAGATGTAGACACTGGATGTGTCGTCCTGCACCAGGAACACGGCAGGCCTGGTCGGGGACCACTGCAGGCCGGTGACTGCATGGCCATCTGTGCTGCTGTCCCACTGCAGGAGGGGAAATGCAGAACTCAGCTGGTGCAGCCTGATGCTTCCGTCCGAACAGCCAGCCTGTGACCAGGAAGGATGAACACCGCTGAGCATGGCCTTGTCCTTTCTTTTTTTCAAGATAAGGTCTCGCTCTGTCACCCAGCCTGGAGTGCAATGGGGCAATCACAGCTCACTGCAGCCTTGACCCCCCAGGCTCAATCAATCCTCCTGCCTTAGCCTCCTGAGTAGCTGGGACTACATGCATGCACCAACACATCTGGCTATTACTACTTGTAGAGATGAGGTCTCACTATGTTGTCCAAGCTGGTCTCAAACTGCTGGCCTCAAGTGACCCTCCTACCTCGGCCTCACAAAGTGCTGGGATGACAGGTGTGAGCCATCATGCCCAGCCATGTTTTTTTCTCTTTTTTTTAACTTGATTTCAGCAGCCAGAGAAATTTTTCAGAGCATTCGCTTTCTTTAGTTTGTCACTGCAAAAACACTAACTTGTTGTTTTCCAAACAGGAGGAAGGGGAGGGTGAGGAGGAATAACATGGGAGAAATGCCAGATATAGTATGCACCTAAAGTAAAATAAATAAATTTTAAAAAAATAAGTAAAATCTTAAAAAAATTATAACATTGAATCTCTCCTCAAAAGGTACAAAGGTGAGCACTCACCTGACTGATAAACTTTGTGTTTCTCTTCCAACATGGTCAATAATCAAAAGATTCAGTGAATATATAAATAGGTATTTATTTTCAACAAAGTTGTATATCAGTGGCTCAAGCGTGGGCCATTAAGATTGGTTCCATGAAAATATGGCACCTTTTATAAAACTACATACATTTATATCAATAATATGGTTATATATATTTCCCTTGGATTGAAATTTTCATAAAATCAAACAACTGGTTAAATAAAAGGCCAAATTTTTAGCTTTTAAAGAGAAGATTAATTCATTTTACTCAATATATTTGATCTTTCCCATATTCAAAAAAAGAAAAAGAACATCAATAAGAATGTGAGTAAAATTCTAAAATGCAATATAAACAAATTTTAAAACCTATATTCTAAATAAATAACATAACCATACAGGAAGGAGGGGCAAGAACCAGGCCACACAATTTCTGAACACCTCGTTCAACGGTGCAGTTTACATCCGAAACCCAGGCAGCACCCAGAACACGGACTGCTCAGCGGCCTTACTTTCCCACAGGCATTGAAGAGCTCTGTGTACTCCAGGAGTGAGCATGTGAACGGATCCAAATCAGTCATCCTAACAACACACAGGGCCAGATTTCCCTGTCTGAGAGGTAGGCACAGCCAGGGAGGAGGCAGGATGGAGGGACCCTGTTTGTTAACCTGGAGTTAGAGACAAGGGTGCAAACTCACAGTATGTGATGCCTGCATATGTGGTTTATGGATAGAAGTGGGCATTCCATGTGCTTTGTCTCTTAACGGACCTACCTGCGCCATCAAACACTTCTTACTGCCCAGATCTTGGTTTCTAGATACTTTTCTCCACTCATAAGAGCCACAACTCCTGGGAGAAGTGGCTGGTTCAGGGCTCACAGGATGATGTCCAAAGGATAAAGAGCCAGTGCAAAGGACACCCACTGGCCTAACCCAGAACATTTGAGCAGCAAAATAAATACTGGTAGTAAATAATTGTGACCTACTAAATAAAGTAAAAAGCCACATGTCCACAACATGTAATAAAAAGACACATACATGCATAGAGAAAAGGAAAAGTCTCCCCTAACGGTAGAAAGCCAACTAGTACATGAAGAATTAACAGCGGGTTGGAAAATCACTATTTGCCAATCATCTTAATAATCAATTCAAGAAACATTCATCCATGGATGCCAAAACTGGTGGTGAAAATCTAAGGAGTTTTGAGACGTTTACAAAGTGTCACCGTAACCCCCCACGAGACACTTAATCAGAAAGGAACCAGGAAACTCCACAAGGTCAGAATTTGTGTTGTGTGGGATGGCACCAACCGATGTCACTGGTCTCCCCAGGACATGCATCACCCTGAGCTACTCCAGCCAAGCACAAAAAACCTGTGCCTGATCGTGACTGATGGAAGCCTCAGACATGCTCAGACTCAGGAACATTGTATAAAATAACTGGCCTGTGCCCTTCAAAAATGTCAAGGTCATGAAAGACGGAGGGACTCAGTCTTTGATGTCCAGATCAAGGGATTTTGAAGAGACAAACCAGTGAATGAGACACAGGGCCTGGGACATGACTTTTCTTAACAAGGACATTATCGGAACATGCCTGTGATCTCCCTCACTCTACAGATTCAATAGCAGGTTTGTACCAGTGTGAACCTCCTGGTGACTGTGACCACAACAGTTATATGGGGATATTCTTGCTTTTAGGAAATGCACGCTGAACTGTTTAGGGATAGAGTATCGTGTTTGCAACTTCCCCTCAGACAGTTAAAATATCTGAACGTCCAGAGAGAAGGAAGCCCACGTGGTAGGTCTGGAGGTCCTCCACCAGAGAGGAGGAAACCCACCAGAGGGTATGCAGGAAGCCTTTGAACTATTCGTGTAATTTCTCCGTAAGCCTGAAATTGTGTCAAAATAAACGTTTTTTTAGAAAAGATCCATTCAATAACCATATAAAGTCATTTGTACCACCTAGGCAGGTAAGACTTTCAGAAAGCCGAGGACAGAGGTGTCAGGACACTCATGAGAGCCCCTGGCTCTGAGGTGCATGAGGGCAACCCAGCACCTCCAGTGTGTGAGTGGAGGTCCTCTTGGGAGGGTGCAGAAATAGGCCAGGGCAGAACCTTCCAGAGGCTGGCCCAGACACCTCCGAAGACCTGTTGTACCTCTGGACTCAGGACCAGCTCAGGCCCTGGGGCCAGAATACATATATCCTTTTAAAACATCATTCTTTCATGCACCTTCACAAAACAGAAGATTTACTAATAATGTGTACACCTTAGTCACAGAGGCAAGGTCTGGACCACATACATTACTAATAAAATTACTATCTAACATAATGGGAACCACAAATAGGAACTATATACGTAATTTAAAATTCTCACCAGCCGGGCGTGGTGGTGCATGCCTATAATCCCAGCTACTCAGGAGAATCTGAGGCAGGAGTATCACTTGAACCCGGGAGGTGGAGGTTGCAGGGAGCTGAGACCATGCCACTGTACTCTAGCTTGGGTGACAGAGCAAGACTCTATCAAAAGCAAAAAAAAAAAAAAAAATTCTAGTAGCCACATTAAAAAGTTAAAAACAAAAAAACAGCAGGGTGTGGTGACATGCACCTGTAATCCCAGCTACTCAGATGGCCAAGGCGACAGAATTGCTTAAGCCTGGGAGATTGAGGCTGTACTGAGCTATGATTGTGCCACTGCACTTCCAACCCTGGCAGCAGAGCAAGACGCTCTCAAAATTAAAAAAAAAAAAAAAAAATGTAAATAATTTCAAAATGCAATAAACAAAATAATTGTTTTTTATTGATAAAAATATACATCAGGAATTTACCATCTTTGTAAGTATACAGTTCAGTGTAATAAATACATTTATATGCTTTTCTTTTCATCCACACCAGCTTCTGGTAGCCACCATGCCACACTCTGTCTTCATGAGAGCCGCTTTTTTAGCAACTGTATATAAGTGAGAACATGCGATATGTGCCTTTCTGTGCCATATTTCACATAGTGGCCAGTAACTTCCACCCATGTTGCTGTAAATGACAGGGTTTCATTCTTTTTTATGCCCAATATTCCATTGTGTATATTTACCATGTTTCCTTTTTCCATTCATCCACTGATGAGCACTTAGGTTGACTCCCTATCTTGGCTATGGTGGATAGTATCACAGTAAACACTAAGAGTGCAGATATCTCTTTGATGCGTTTATTGTCCTTCTTGTGGCTACATACCCAGTAGTAGAATTCCTGTATTATATGGTGGTTCTATTTTTAGTTTTTTGAGGAACCACCATACTGTTTTTCGTAATGGCTGGACTAATTCACATTTCTACCATCCGTGTTGAAGGGCTCCCTTCTCCACATCCTCATCAGCATCTGTTACTGCCTTTTTTATGAGCCAGTTTAACTTGGGTGAGACGATATTGTGTTGTGGTTTTGACTTGCATTCCTGTGATTAGTGATACTGAGCTTTTATTCATATATCTCTTGGCCATGTGTATGTCTTCTTTTGAGAAATGTCTGTTCAGATCTTTTGCCCACCTTAAAATCAGATTTTTTTTTTTTTGGCTATTATTTGAACTCCTTATATATTCTGGTTATTAATCTCGTTGGATAAAGAATTTACAAATCTTTTCATTTCCTTTGCTGTTCAGAAGCCTTTTAGAATGATGTAATCTCAATTGCCTACTTTTGCCTCTAGCTTTGTCCTTTTTGCTGAGGATTGCTTTGGCTATTCAGGGTCATTATTGATTCCATATAAATATTAGGGCTTTTTTTGCCTATTTATGTGAAGAATTTCTTTGGTATTCCGAGAAGGATTGCACTGACTCTGTAAATTGCTTTGGGCAGCACTGTCATTTTAACAATATTAATTCTTCCAATCCACAAGCATGCAATGTCTTCCCATTTTTTGTGTCCTCTTCTATTTCTTTCATCAGTTTTAGTTTTCCTCCTATAGATCTTTCACGTCTTTGGTTAGATTGATTTCTAGCTATTTTACATTTTTGCAGCTACTGTAAAGAAGACTGCTTTCTTGATCTCTTTTTCAGATTGTTGCCGTTGGCATATATACACACTACTGACTTTTGTATACTGAATTTTTATCCGTACCTTTACTGGATTCCTGTGTCAGTTGTAACAGTTTCTTTGGTGGAGTGTAGGTTTTTCTAGGAAACGGTCATACTGTCTGCAAACAAGGTTAATCTGACTTCTTCCTTTCCAGTTTGGATGCTCTTTATTTCCTTCACTTGTCTAACTGCTCTGGCCAGGACTTCCAGTACTTTATTGAATAAGAGTGGCAATGTGGGTACTATTGTCTTATTCCAGCCTTTAGAGGAAAGGCTTACAATTCTTCTCCACTCAGTATGTTAGCCATAGGTTTGTCATAAACAGCCTTTGTTATTTTGAGGTATGTTCCTTCTATGCCCAGTTTGATGAGGGCTTTTATCAGAGGGATTCTGAATGTTATCAAATGCTTTTTTGGCATCTATTGAAATGATATCCTTTTTGTTCTTGATTCTGTTAATGTGATGTCTCATGTTTATTGATTTGCATATTTTAAACCATTCTGGCATCCCTGGAATGAATCCCATTTGATCATGGTGAATGGATCTTTTTAACATCTTGCTAAATTTGGTTTGCTAGTATTTTGTTGAGGATTTTTGCCTCTGTGCTCATCAGGGATACTGGCTTGTAATTTTCATTTTCTGTTGTGTCCTTGTCTGGTTTTGGCATCAGGGTAATGCTGGCTTGGTAGAACGTTTCAATTTTTTTGAAGAATATGAGAAGTATTGGCATTAATTGTTCGGTAGGATTGAGCAGTGAAGCCATAAGGTCCTGGGCTTTTCTTTGATGGGAGACTTAGTACAGCTTCAATCTAATTACCTATTATTGATTTACTGAAGTTTTCTATTTCTTCATGGTTCAATGTTGGTAGGTTGTATGTGTCCAAGAACTTATCCATTTCTTCTGGGTTTTCCAATTTGTTGGCTTATAGCTGTTCATAATAGTCTCTAATGATTACTTGTATTTTTTAGGGCTCAGTTGTCATATCTCCTTTTTTGATTCTGATTCTTTTTGAATCTTTTTTCTTATTATAGCCAAAAGTTCACCAATTTTACTTCTTTCAAAATTCAAATTTTCATTTCATTGACCTTCTGTAATTTGTCTCAATTTTATTTCTGCTCTGAACTTTACTATTTCTTTCCTTCTGCTAATTTTGGGTTTGGTTTGTTCTTGCTTTTCTCCTTCCTTGAGGTGTATTGTTACATTGTTTATTTTGAAATCTACTTTTTTGGATGAAGGCATTTGTTACTATAAACTTTTTAGTACTACTTTTGTCATATCCCATAGATTTTGATATGTTGCATTTTTATTTTCATGTTTCAGTAAATTTTTTAATTTCCTTCTTAATTTCTTCATTCAGGAAGATGTTTAATTTCCATGTGTTTGTGTATTTTTCAAGGTTCCTTCCATTATAGATCTCTAGTTTTATTCCATGGTAATCATAAAAGAGATTCAACATAATTTCTATTTTTCTGAATTTGTATGGACTTGTTTGGGGCCTAAGATATGGTATATTCTGGATGAAGTCCCATGTGCTAAAGAATGTATATTCTGTAAATGTTAGGCCTATTTGGTCTAGCGCAGGGGTCCCCAACCCCTGCGCCATGACCAGTAACAGACCATGGCCTGTTACAAACTGGGCCACACAGCAAGAGCTGAGTAGCAGGCAAGTGAGTATTACCACCTGAGCTCTGGCTCCTGTCAGACCAGCGGTAACAACAGATTCTCATAGGAGCATGAACCCTACTGTGAACTGTGCATGCAAGGAATCTAGGCTTCAGTGTCCTTATAAGAATCTAATACCTGATGATCTGAGGTACAACAGTTTCATCCTGAAACTGTCCCTCAAACCCCGGTTCAGGAAAAAATTGTCTTCCACAAAAGGGTCTCCCCATGTTGCTCAGGCTGGCTCATCGATCCTCCTGCCTTGGCTTCCCAAATCCTGGGATTACAGATGTGGGCCACCACACGTAGCCTTGATTGTGTATTTTCAAATAGCCTGTTTTTAGCTCACTAATTCATTTCTCTGCTTGATCCACTCTGCTGCTGAGAGCCTATGATGAATTTCTTCAGTTCAGCAAATATGTTTCTCAGTTTCAAGATTTCCATTTGATTTTTTAAATTATTTCAATCTCTTTGTTAAATTTCTCTGATAAATTTCTGAATTGCTTTTCTGTGTTGTCTTGGAGATCACAGAGTTTCCTTAAAATTGCTCTTTTGAATTCTTGGGTAAGAGAGTTCACAAATCACTGCCCCATGAGGTCACTGGACTTTTGCTGTCCTTCTGGGCAGGTCATGGTTCCCTATTTGCTACTGTTTCTTGTGGGTGTATGTCCGTGTCTTTGCATTGCAGGATTAGTTATTTACTCCAGCTTTCTTTGTCCACCTTGTTTTGGTTTCTATTGAATATATTTGCTTAGCAAATGCTCACTGCTGGGTTGCTACCTCCTTTGCAGCTATAGATGAGGTTCACCTTAAGACGAGATGAGGATAACCTTGGCTGTATTTAGTGATTGAGGGAGGCCTGCACCAAACGAGGGAGGTCTCAAAGGATTTGTCCTGACAGCACCAGGGTTTGTGTTCGGAAGGCCTGTAGAACAAACCTCCTGCGCATGGTGTTGTGAGCGGCTACTCTGATTGAGTGCCCTTTTGGCTGAGGTGCAGAGTTTCCAGGGCTGGGGATAGTAGTCCCACCTCCGCTTTGCCTCTGGGCATCCTCGGGTGTTTCTCCCTTCAGGTACTCGGGATGGATGCTCCCCATGGGCAGAGGCAGGGACAAGGCACCCAAGAAAGTAGAGAAACTGGGTGTCCACCTCAATTTTTACTTTTTTCAGCACAGAAACCATGAGCTCTGGAGAGATTTTCCATGCACTTCATGCCAGACTAATTAAGGGGGAAAGGGCACTGTGGATATGGAAACCCAGTTTTCCTCCCATCTGCTCACATCTTCACACTTGAGCTCTAAGTTCTTACTGGTGAAGATCTTGGTGCTATGTATTTGGTTTTGGTTTCCTGTGGGGAGAGAAGCCATAAAAAGCTCCAGGGCTCCACACTGGAACTCGACAACAACAACATTATTAATAACATATTTCACATTCTTTTATTCATACTAATTCTTCAAAATCTGACATGTATTCCACACCTCCAGCATGTCTCAGTCTTGTCTGGCCACATTCCAGGTTCTGAACATTACTCAGCAGCTCAAATGCCATCTTTGGAAATACAAAGATACATGAAATACCATCTCCCCCCTCAACAACCTTACAGTTTATGTGGCTGACATATAAACATAATTTAGAATATTTTAAGTACTATAAAAGTAGTGTGAATAAATAACAATCTGTCCTCTCAATCTCAAGTATAGGGAAATTTGTAACAACTAGTGAAAGGAGGCAATATCTGAGTTATAATTTAATGCCTTGACTGTGGTATAACTCTTAACAGTTAATTATCAGATTTAATCACATATGAAGTTGTTTCATGTTTTGCCTTAAGTCCTATCTTACCCCAACCAACCCATAAACTGACCTTGGAGCCCACAGGACAATTGTGACTAGGGTGAGCTCGGCTGACCCTAGCCTTCCCTGGAGGCGAAGAGAGCAAGCAGCGTGCACATTTCCTGCAGCATGGAGTGCAGCACAGGAGCTGTTGCCCGCCCGACAGCCATCCCTGCACTTGCAGGTTAAAGACTCTGAACATTAATTTCTATTATATTGTGTTAAATAATAAAAGAATACAGGCAAAAATTCTTGCACTAGAAATTTCGTCACATTTTTGGCTGTATCATAGGTTTTGATATTTGATATTCTTCTGTTAAATTCTAAGTTTATAAATAAACCAAGTACTACTTAAGAGAGTTTAATTTCTACATAGGTTTTGTTTTTAAAATTTGTTATTAATTTCATGTTTCTCCTTTTTAGAGCACTGACACCCAATAAATGATCAATCTGTACTCTAGTAATGATCAACTTTTAAAATTTTCCAATGGATCACTGCAAGTGTTATGCTACCCAAACAGGCAAAGAGTATCACTAAAAAGAATTGGTAAGCCTAGGCAACATAGGGAGATCAGGTAGCCACAAAAAATATGTTTTTTTAATTATCTGTAGTGGCACGCATCTGTGGTCCCAGTTACTTGGGAGGCTGAGGGGGGATCACTTGAGCCCAGGAGCTCAAGGCTGCAGTGAGCTATGGTCACACCACTGCACTCCAGCCTGGGTGACAGAGCAATACCCTGTCTCAAAAAAAGAAGAATTGGTGCTTTAAAAAACAAACTTTCTTACCAAGAATACTGGTTCTCCAAATGGTGAAAAATCAATGACATTAACTTTTACTGGTCTTATACCACATTGCTGAGGTTTGAATAGTTTGGGAGCCACTCTCAAATCTTGTCTTGTGCCATGGGTTATGAGACCCTGTGAAGAAGAAGAAGCCCAAGAGTGACTGAAGAAGTGCATTAGACATAGCTACTGTTCCTCGAACAATTTAAAAATTATAAAAGCAAAGAGTAATTTGATCTTAAATAAAGGTATTTATCAGGTAAGTCTAGAAATGAAGGAGAATGAGTAACAGAATTAAATTTAAAATACTACTCACCATGTCTGTGCCAACAATAAAGTGATTAGGATCTGAAGGCAGAAATTTTACATTCAGTGTTTGTGTAGTCCTCCCAAATTCATTACCTTTATGGGAAAGACTGAAAAAATAAAATAACAAAGATGAACAGATGGATTGTTTTCAAACCTTAAGAATAATGATGGTATTAACACTAATTTACACTACAATACATTACTCGATATATAACAGGCCATGTCACAGGCCTCAGTGACTTTAGCCACTCTGTTTCCAGTTTTTATCTGCTACTGCACTCTTGATAATTTTCTTCAGATTTATCCTTCTGTTCACTAATTCTTTCTTCAGCTATATCTAATCTGCTGTGTAACCATTAACTTGGTTATAAATTTCAGAGATAACAGTTTCATTTTTAGAAATGTCTTTTAGATTATACAACTGTCTCAAGTTCTTAGTGAACAACTCCTATTTTTTACACCAAGGTAGACTGTTTCTTCATGCTTGTAGCTGTGAACTCATCTGCAGCGGACTGCTTCTCATGAGAATCCTGTGAGCCCCAACATGCAAATTTATCTTTACCCACAAGGCGGTTTTGCCTCTACTTTAACTATGAACCCACTGAGGCCACTGGTAAGGAGAAGTGATGTTAACATCTCAGCTTGTGGGTTCCCACACACACTCAGCTTAGGATTTCAAGTTCTTCCAAGCTCCTCTGTCTTCCCTTGGCTGTGGTGAGGCTTTCTGAATTTCCCTATCACTGCAGGGGCAGTGAGTTCCAAAGTCCTGTGCAGGGGTCTCAGTGTTACCTCCTTGACTCAGGCAATCCCAATGCATCAACTGGTTCTGCATGGGGCTCAAGCCTCAGAGACAGCCCAGAAGGCCTGAGATAGGCTGGGCTTGACATCCTGCCTCCAAGCCATCACACAGCAGCTCAAAAGCTTAGGGCACCAACTTTAAGCTCCCTCCTATTATGGTATTTAGAGATCTTCCTTCCCTTTTAAAAATTACACTTAGTTTTATTTTTTCCTTTATATGGCATATGTATTTGTAACACAGAGATGCCCACAGTTGCTCCGCTGGCCATGCCCGCATCATCAAAGTCAGCATCTGGCCATGCTACCACAGCCTGCTCTCCAATTTTCTCTTTCCATCCACATTCAGGACTGCAAATGTCACCTCTTGGTTGGTGACTCCCAAATCCCTTCCTCTATCTGAGGTTTCTGCTATGGAGGCCCCTGCCTCCTGGACATCTCCACAGGCACCACAAGCTCAGCCTGTCCTCACTGGACCACACTGGGCTACTCCCAACCCTCCCTGCCCCTATCCTCATCTGGCAAGTGGTATCCAGTCACCAACCAGACAGGCTGGTAGAGGCAGGGACCAACCCAGGCTCCTCCCTCCCACTGCTCCTATCATCGGTAAGCTGCTGGGTTGTATAAGTTCTACCCCTTTAGCCTGTGTCCAGCCCTCTGAACCTGTGATTGCTGCTTTTTCATATCTTAGTTGTTCATGTCAGTCACTCCAGAGCCTCCAAATTGCTCTCCCTGACACCAGCCTCCCTTCTTCTGTTACCAATTTATACCGCTGCCACACTGACCAATCTACATCACAGACAAGAGGCGCCACTCCTTGACTCAACATCTGGCAACGGCTTGTGACCACCTTATGATAAACGTCCACACCCTTTAAACAGCGGACATACTCGTCGGGGCCTGACCGATCTGTCTCCCTCAACATCAGACCCACTGACAGCCCCAAACGTGCCTCTGGGCACTCCCAGGTGCTGCTCCTCTGACCATCTAACTGCACCTCAAAGGCCCGGCTCAGTCTTTTCCTACTCAAGATGTCCCCACTGCCCCCATCCTTTGAGCTCCCACAAACACTGTGCACATCCTGACAGCGCACCTCATCCTCTGCACTACAACCCTGGTGGACAGGGGCCCACCTGCAGAGGTGCTGCAGGCAGAGGCCTCCCAGGGACACTCACCCTCAGTGACTGACGGGATAGGGGGTACAAAGGCCCGGCCACATAATTCTGGGAGGCCATTCCAGCTCAGAACTCCCCGGCCCTGGAGAATTAGCCATGGGGCCTGCCTCACAGCTCAGCTCCTCCTCTCAGCCCAATTCTGCATCCTCCCCACCCTCTCCCAGGCAGTGATCCCAAGGAACTACTTAAGAAACATCCTCACTCTGAACTCCACTGCAGAGCCTTTTTCCTGTGAAAGCAGGGAGCCCCACCTGCAATCATATAGCGTTGACTCATCTGCCTCCTTCTTGGAGGGCCTTGAGGGAACATGCTCCTGCCTAATACTACAAAGCCTGGCAAGTAGAATAAACTCAACATGGTTGGTTGAGCAGAGTATGAAGGAACATTTATTATGCATGGATCTCAGGAAGACACTGCTAGGAGTTTTTGGGTAAGAAAAAACCCAAACGTCGGATAGATTAGACACTTTCCTTCAAAGAGTGTGTGTGCAGTTAAGTACAGGAGAAGCTGATAGCTAAAGATAAATATGATGCACAGTATAAAGCGAAAAGGACCCTGGTAGAGATGAGAAGTCATAAAGAAACTCAGCAAGAGAACTGCAGAGGCTGGTGGGGTCAGGGGTTAGCCCAGGAACCATGTATGTTTGGCTCTGCAATACAGGAAATGACTTTTTAAAATGTAATTGACTCACTTTCATAAGTCTCTAAGCATGCATGAATTCATTAACACAACCCACAGGTTTTCTGAGTAAAACCCAACCCACAGGAGGAATCAGGCCCCCAAATTGTTCAAGAGTAATTCAAATGTTGATAGTTGACCCCTGAGTGCAGTGAACAAGAAAAGATATTTGGGAAATAAATTAACATAAAACATATACATACCATAAACAATATTTGTACATTTGTGAAGAATTTTTATGTCACATTAAGTTGTATAAGTAAAAGCAGAAATCTAACTCTCTGAATAAAACTTTTTATCAATGTTTCTGGTTCCTGCAACTTTATGTAAGCTTAACCTCTGGGTTTCATAAGAACTGAAGAACAGTTAAATAAGACCAATTTAAAAGACAGAAAGTAGCCTCTACTTAAAAATTAGCTCTACACCCGGAAGCTGCATTTATTACATTCACTTATTAATGATGGACTAAACAAGGCTGGGCAAGGTGGCTCACGCCTGTAATCCCAACACTTTGGGAGGCTGAGGCAGGCAGATAACCTGAGGTCAGGCATTTCAGACCAGCCTGACCAATATGATGAAACCCCATCTCTACTAAAAATATAAAAATTAGCTGGGTGTGGTGGCAGGCACCTGCAATCCCAGCTACTCAGGAGGCTCAGACAGGAGAATCGCTTGAACCTGGGAGGCGGAGGTTGCAGTGAGCCAAGATCGTGCCACTGCACTCCAGCGTGGGCAAAAACAGCGAAACTCCGTCTTTAAAAAACTCATAATAAAAAGACAAAACAGTCAAAATACAATGTGAGAAAATGGACTTCTTCATTGCAAAAGCTGACCATTTACTGTATATGCAATTCCCCAATGTTATTTTCCTTCCAGGTCTTTGTAAGATAGTGAAGCATTTTCCCTCACATCTTACCTGTCACCCAACTGGATCAGAGCACTATGCACCAGCTTGACCCTCCCTCCAGGCATCAGACCTAAAAACAGATGAAGCAAAATAAATCCATCTTTCAACAGAAGCTAAATCAAAATCCAGTTATAGTTGCCTGGAATTGTTTTTCATTGCTTAAATATGTGTTAGGAAATAACATCAAATGTAAATCAATACACAGCATCCCTCCCTCCCTGTGGGTGAGGGTCACTACCTTAGGAGAACAATCAAGAATTCACAGTTCAAACCCTTATGGGAAGAAAGATTGTAGAATCATGATCTGGGAGCCTTTGTATCTTTTGATCTGATAAAAATAAGGGTGGTAAGCAATCCACACGTGTGTACGAATGTATATACACTAAACAAGCCTTAGATCACAGCACTAAACGCCCCGTAAATGTCCCCCAGGGCTCCAATGCCCACAGGAAACCTGTAGGACCTCCCTCTCCATCATCCCAGAGACTCAAAAATCTGCTGGTCTCCAGGCAGAATGCACAGGAGGCAGGGTGACTCCTCGGCCGAGCGCATCCGGTCTCACTCTCCACTCCACCAGCTTCTCCAGCTTCCCTCTCAAACAACACAGAGCCATGGCTCTGAGGCCTGACTGCTTTTCCTTTCTATCCTGAAAGTGTCCATGGCTACAACGCTGACTCCTCAGCCATCTACTGGTTTTGCTTCTTGTATCTGCTCCCAATATCACTTTCCGTCTTTAAAACTACTGCAAGGGGAAAAACTAGAAATTTAAGGATATTAAAACCTAAATTCTGGGCAAGGCATTGCCTAGAACTCTGGGAGCAGATGAATCAAAAGGAGATAGAAATAAACCCCCCTGCCGCTGGGCAGGGTCCCTGTAGCTGCACTGCGCATCTCCTACCAGTCACAACCACGATGAAGAAGGGTCAATGCTACCATTCACAAATATGAGGCTTCCCTGCACACCCCCTAACTCGTGTCTTGGTTCCCACGCCACCACCCACGGGCAGCCTTTCTGGCCGGGACCTCCCGTTGGCCCCTACGTGACACCACCCATGGGCAGCCTTTCTGACCGGGACCTCCCGTTGGCCCCTACGTGCCACCACCCATGGGCAGCCTTTCTGGCCGGGATCTCCCGTTGGCCCCTACGTGCTACCACCCATGGGCAGCCTTTCTGGCCGGGACCTCCCGTTGGCCCCTACGTGCCACCACCCACGGGCAGTCTTTCTGGCCGGGACCTCCCATTGGCCCCTACGTGCCACCACCCATGGGCAGCCTTTCTGGCCGGGCCGTCCCACTGGGCCTCCGCTCCAGCAAGTCCACAACCACTCGCCCTCTTCCGGGCTGGGGTCTTCGCCCGGGTCTCCTGGCACCTAGAACTGGACCCAGCTTATGCAGAGAACATTTTGTAAAACAATGCTGGCTGACTGCTTCTGAGACTTCAGCTCTCCAACAGCCACTCATCCAAAACCTACACAGAGTTTGCAACCACCCTGAACTACAGGCTGGTCTGAACATCCTCCCTTCCTAAAGTCAAGGCTAGAACATGGTTACAAGTTTGGTTAAGTGAATCAGTGGAGAAAGGATATTTTTATACAGCAATATTTTAAAATGAAATACTCACCACCCCGGATATCCTTTGTAGGACCATTGTGAATATAAAACATTTTTATGCAAATACTTTTTATGCAAAATGATTTTGTCTCCATAGCCAGATTATCAACTGACTATAAACATAAATTATCTCCCCAGTACCACCCATATTTGCTTGAAAAGTACTTTGGTCATGTCACAAGTTCACAGCACAACCAGCCTCAAGATGAACTCTCAAGGTCACAAGAGTTCTGGGCATTTGGGGAGTAACCCTGGGTGTGAAGGTAGCCTTGGTGCTAAGACCAATAGTGTGGGTCTTGCCCCGTCACCAATCCACAGCGTGACCTGTGTCTGTTGAGGAGGCAGCACCAGGACCCTGCCAGGCTCCCTGGCTCTGACCTTCCAGGATTCTAGGAGCAGCCTGGAGTCCACATGCAGAAGGGCCAACACAGAGCAGCACGGCTTCATGAGCAGAGAGGGGCCCATGTGAGGAACACACTGAGAAAGACAGTGACTCCAGAGTCAAGAGTAAACTTGGAAGGGCCATCACAGACACATGACTACAGAGCACACAGCATTGGCTCTAAGGGCTAAAGTGCCCTGTTCCCTAATCTCAAGAAGTTAGGAACAAAGTTGGTCTCTCTCCTATTATTTTTTGCCAGATCTACACAGGAAAATACACCTGATACAAGCAAGGTGAAAGGGGGCTCATCATTAGAAACTGGGTGGTGGGAGGCCAATGAGGTGAGAAGAAAGTTGAGATTCAAACATGGGCTAACCTCAGCCACAGAACACAACAGGACTGAATTACTCCGTCACTTCTGAACCTTGCTGGAACTGAAAACCGTACCTCATAGCATTAAAAGCAGCCAATTGTGAGAGGTGCTATTAGCTTTGCTTCAAGTTGTTTCTGCTCTGCCCAGACCCGGGGACTTTTGCCACCCTGGGATCCAGCCTAAGGGCCCTTAGGAGTAGCGTTCAGTGTCCCTGATATGTCCTGGGGTCATAAATCCAAAACCAAAAGGAAAAAGGCCCAAAAAATGAATGACCATTCAAGGACTCAGACACCTGAAATATGTCAGACATGGCTGCAGAATACAGCTGTCCTTGACTTGTCTGACAGAGGCGAATGAATGGTACTTAGCGGTAAACAGAACTCATTAAACCATACTAAGATCAAAACATTCACTCAGAGCCCGGGCGCAGTGGCTCATGCCTGTAATCCCAACACTTTGGGAGACTAAGGCGGGTGGATCACGAGGTCAGTAGTTCCAGACCAGCCTGACCAACATGGCAAAACCCTGTCTCTACTAAAAATACAAAGATTAGCTGGACGTGGTGGTGGGTGCCTGTAATCCTAGCTACTTGGAAGGCTGAGACAGGAGAGTTGTTTGAACATTGGAGGCAGAGGTTGCAGTGAGCCAAGATCACACCACTGCACTCCAGCCGGGGCGACAGACCAAGGCTCTGTCTCAAAAAAAAAAAAAAAAAAAAAAAGAAAATTTCATTTAGACTATCATTTGATTATTCTAGTTAACTGAGATGACTGGTCACAGCTGATAAGGCTATATATGACATACAACTTTAGTGTTTATTTTTCAGGTAGTAATTCATATTTTTCAAAGTAGTTATTGGTATCTTTTTTTTTTCTTTTAAACAGAGAGACAAGGTCTCACTACATCACCCAGGCTGGAGTGTAGTGGCATGATCATGGCTCACTGCAGTCTCAAACTGTTGGGCTCATATAATCCTCCCACCTTATCCTCCCAAGCAGCTAGGGCTATAGGTGTGCACCACCACACCCAGCCAATTTTTGTATTTTTTTTGTAGAGACGGGGTCTCGCTATCTTGCCCAGGCTGGTCTCAAACCCTAGGTCCAAGCAATCCTCCTGCCTCAGATTCCCAATGTGCTAAGGCTCCGAACATGAGTCACTGCAGTTATCAGTACCTTTAATCTCTATTCGTTTTAGAAAACAGTAAAATTAACTTTTTTATTCAATAGTTACCTAATTCACTTATTGAGCCTGCGATGTCTGCCTTTGGTAATTCAACAACCACCTAAAAACAGAATATTGAAAATGAATATTGATACATTTTATAAGTATTAACCTAAGCAAGGCATAGCTCTAATTAAGATGGAGTACTTTAATAGGTACTAAAACATAACTGCCCCAGAAAAAGAGACTGATCTTTAGCCTCAGAACTGACATTTTACAAGCTACTGACTACTTTGCTTTGATCTCTTCATGTTCTCTTTACTTGGTGACTTAATCAACAGTCTTGGCACATCCTCCAACACAAGGCAGGCCAGCGTGATCTCAGCCCTGACATTTTGTTCCCTTCCCACTTACGTTCCATGTCCCCAAAGCCCTGTATGAGGTTCCTATTTTGCTGTCACAGAAAGGCCCCGAACCTGCCATGTGAGACATTTTGCATCCCTTCTGCACAAGACCAGTAAGCCCAGTCCTGCTCTGCATTTCCCACCTTAGCTAACTGGGCCCTTACCCCTGCGCCATTCAGGCACCATCTCCACCCAGGCCATCTCACTCAGGCCCCGCGTGTGCACATCCTGGCCCCTACTCACCCACACGTTGAGAACCCCACTCTCATCCAAGGAAGCGATGTGGAAGGACAAACCTGACATTTCTGATGAAAACAGAAAGAAATGGCCTTAAATAAGGAAACCATATTTCACAACTATTAAGGATTTTAAGACAGTGAAGAATCATGTACCTTCTTGAGTAGAAAACGGTGAAAGCACAAAGCTCTGCTTTTTGTGGACAGACGCTGAGATAGATTCTATTGCTTGAAGAGGGCTTTGGTGGTTCACTGAGGTAAGGATTCCATCTGGAGTTCAAAAGCCAACAGCACCCCCACGTAAGTAATATGTTGCAGAAATGCAGTTTGCATCACACGTAGACAAACATGAGGGGCTTCTGGGTCTCACAGATCCAACTCTCTCTACACATCTTCCCAAAACACCCAAGACCAACACAGACCACGCACAAAACTGACACAGGACCACAACTTTCACATTCCTAGGTCACAGAGGCCCCAGACCCCTCCTCTCCTGTAAGAGAAAAAGCGCCAGTTCCCGCAGAGCGTACCAGCCCCTCGGGTCTATGGGTCTGGAGGGCAGGAAGAAAGCTAAAACTAAAGGCAAAGAGAGTGTACAGCAGCCCAAAAGGAAACTCAGAGAGAGGGGGTCCCCCTGCAGGGCCAGATCCTGGACGACCGAAAAGAAACTCAGAGAGCATCTCCCTGCAAGGCCACAGCCAGAAAGGAAACTCAAAGAGGGTCTTCCCTGTGAGGCCAAGTCCTGGAGGCAACTCACATAGCGGAGGGGAAAGGGCTGGGAGGCAGAGGTTGGAGCAGCACTGCTGAGGGGAAGGGGGGGTGAACAGGAAAGGGGGGTGACCCCCCCCAACACACACACACCAGACAACTGGCAGCAGGAGAGAAATCAGAGACAAACCCACCCCAGCTATTGCTACCTCGAGGCACAATCCCCACTAAAACAATACCTGTCACAAATCAATAAAGCAAAGCTCACTGACCTAAAACATCCATCTACAGAATATCTACGAGTAGAACAAAGCCAAACTCCATAGAAAGCTACTATAAGAAGAAAACAGAAAAAAGTAAATCAAAGCATTTCAGCTGATGAAAATTCTCCCTCCTAAAAATAAGCACAAGGCAGAAGACACAAAATTCAACATTCCAAATGGAATCACATCTCTTCAAAGGCCATCAGGAAACATATCAAAACAAACAAGACAAAAACACCTGGAATCAGAAATCAAGAACAGAATTACACCCAAAAAAAAAGCAAGAAATGACATGGGAATTGGGATTGAACTTAGGAAAAAAACTGAAGAGAAAGATAAAACCATCTCAGAAATTAAGAATAAATTACAGGTTTCTAAGGCAGAGGATCAGATGAAGTGCTGCAGGCTTAGCTGAGGAAAGGCTGGTCTCCCAGGAGAGAATACGGCTCCTCTGACTCATGCTCTGAATCACAAGTTCCACAGCTCCTCATTACTGAGAGTTTATTTAAAACTTTGTAGGTTTTATTGGTAATATTTCAAAGACAAGGCTGGGCACGGTGGCTCATGCCTGTAATCCCAGCACTTTGAGAGGCCAAGGTCAGCAGATCACCTGAGGTCAGGAGTTTGAGACCAGCCTGGCCAACGTGGAGAAACCTCGTCTCTACTCAAAATACAAAAATCAGCCAGGCATTGGCGGCAGGCACCTGTAATCCCAGATACTCAAGAGGCTGAGGCAGGAGAGTCACCTGAACCTGGGAGGCAGAAGTTGCAGTGGGCCCAGGTCACGCTACATACTCCGGCCTGGGCTACAGAGCCAGACCCCATCTCAAAAAAAAAAAAATTATGGTAAATGTGACTGGAAACTCAGGGAAGTTTTTCTATGAATTTGTGTTTTATTTATTGCAACAGCATTCATGCACATTTACANAAAAAAAAAAAAAAAAAAAAAAGGATGCATTTCAACGAAAAAATTTATTTGTATGTACAGTCCAGAGGTTTAATGTTTTTTAAAATGGTGCTGAATTCAAAAATTTTTTAGTATTAGCAGCAGCAGTTAGAAAGGGCAAAGATTATTTAAAAGATATCTTTTAAAATAGGATTACAACCCATAAGTGATCTATAAATTCAAACAGTCTTAGCAGCAATATTGCCCCAGAGGGGCACAATGCATTGTTGGGGAATTTTTAAAGTGGCTCTTTTATGTACAATGTAGAGATACACATACAGACACATACGCATCTGTGATAATAAAGCCACACGGAGGCTGAGTGACCACCTCGGCCTGCACCTTCAGTCCACAGCATCCCTACTGGGAAGGGGTGGTGCAGGGTGTGGTATGGGGTCTGAGTGCAGGCCCCGCCACGTTGTCAGTGTGACCGTACACAAACGCTGCATGTTCCTGCACAGCTGGGATTCAGGGCTATCAGAATTAAATGAGACAATGTATAGTACACCCCAGGGCAAGTCCCAGAACACAGGAAACATTCATGCCGGGTACCTGTTGTGGTGGCTGGGCACGGCGTGGCATGAACGTCCACCCAGGTCAAACCGAGGCACAGGGAGGCCCCACTGTGCTGTTCCTGGCAGGCTCAGGGCCACTGGCTTTTCTCGAAACCCTAGTGTGAGCTAACTTTGCTCCAGAGCACACACGTGCCCAGATGCCTCAAGCTACTTTAAAATTAAAGGTAATTTCATCGAGGATTTTTTGGAATCCACAAATTTAATAAGAAAGGAAATTTGAGTCATTCTTAGCTACTAGGTAAGCATGAGTGGAATCAATTTTTGCTTTTTCTATTTATCAAGTGCCTGTTTTGCCCACAGGTCAGACCCCATCCTCTGGGATAATGGGAATAAATAGATGCAAATACATGTCAAGCTCTGTTCCTCGAATCTGTGTGGCTTTTCTAGAAGACAACACAGTTAGCAGGCAGATGACACTGACCAGTGGAAAATGTGGCTGTCCGGAACGTCCAGAAACCATCGTTAAGCTTCACAGAGTGATGTAGCCTTGAGTCTTCTCTCAAATCCCAGATGACAACGGAGCCGTGTGCCGTTCCAGCAAACAGTAAAAATGCTTTAAAAGGGCTAAAGCAGCAACACGTGACCTAAAAAAAACACATGCACAGAAAGCGGATGACTGAAGATTGAGAAGCATGCTCGCAGAAGTTATGTTTACTGAGTGGGTATCTGAGGTTACGTTTACTGAGTGGGTGTCTGAGGTTACGTTTACTGAGT